AGTGTTGTTCTCCTAGTTTTCAGTCTGGCCTACGTTGCAGTGTGTGTGTGTGTATGCATTTAAATATTTTTAAATTTTGTTGTTGTTAGTTGCGAAGTCGTGTCCGACTCATCGCGACCCCATGGACAACGTTCCTCCAGGCCTTCCTGTCCTCTACCATCTTCTGGAGTCCATTTAAGCTCACACCTGCTGCTTCGGTGACTCCATCCAGCCACCTCCTTCTCTGTTGTCCCCTTCTTCTATTGCCCTCAATTTTTCCCAGCATCAGGCTCTTCTCCAGTGAGTCCTTCCTTCTCATCAGGTGTCCAAAGTACTTGAGTTTCAACTTCAGGATCTGACCTTCTAAAGAGCAGTCAGGGTTGATCTCCTCCAGGCCTTCCTGTCCTCTACCATCTTCTGGAGTCCACTTAAGCTCACGCCTCCTGCTTCAGTGACTCCATCCAGCCACCTCATTCTCTGTCGTCCCCTTCTTTTATTGCCCTCCATCTTTCCCAGCATCAGGCTCTTCTCCAGTGAGTCCTTCCTTCTCATTAGGTGGCCAAAGAACTTAAGTTTCAACTTCAGGATCTGGCCTTCTAAAGAACAATTTTTAAAATATAAAATGCAAATAGAAATAAAAATAATGGACAAACAGGAAAGAAAAGGGAACAGGGGGAATTAATGAGGGAAGGGGGAAGAAGAAATAAGAAAGAAACAAAAAGCGACTTCTGACTTTTTTTCCTATGTATAAATACATTGTAAAGTTATAATATCAACTTTTTAGCTATGCCACTAGTCAATAACGCCGACCATTTCTATAACAGTGACAGCTTAATTATCAAAACCCAGTTTCATTTTTTCCCCCTCTTTCGTGGAAAAAGTCCAGAAACAGTTTCCAAATAACTGCAAAACTATTTACATTCTTGTCCCTAATTCAAGTAGTCAGCTTTGCCATCTCTGCCAGTTCTATCATTTTTTTCAATCCGCTTCTTCATTGTGGAGGTTAGGCTATTGCACTATGTTCTCGTAGCCGCCTTTAATAACGATTCAAAAATTTCACTTAATGTGGAATGCAACCTCTAGGTTGTTAATGGGTAAGATACAACAGTTTCCAGAGTTCTACAATGCATTCTGGGTACTGCATTAGCTGGCTATATATTTCCCAGCAGAATTCAAAAAGCTAGCTATTATTTAGGAAATCTTACATGGCTTTGACCCAGATTTCCTTCTGGACTGTTCTTCTCCCTATAGCGTCTGCCCATCTTTTGCAATTAAACCAGGACTGGGAAGTGTCAGGTCCCTGCTTCCTGAAGATCCAGGCAGTAGACCTTTTCTGCAGCTGCGTCAGTTGTGTGAAATGGGTTAATTTTAGCTTCATTATTGCCTAAACATTGTACCAATATAAAAGATCAAAAGAGAGAAGCAAGAAACAAGGAAGATAATTTTGTTGTTGTTGTTAATTGCGACCCATTGCAATCCCATGGACAACGTTCCTCCAGGTCTTCCTGTCCTCTACCATCTTCTGGAGTCCATTTAAGTTCACACCTACTGCTTCAGTGACTCCATCCAGGCATCTCATTCTCTGTCATCCCATTCTTTTATTGCCCTCCATCTTTCCCAGCATTAGACTCTTCTCCAGTGAGTCCTTCCTTCTCATTAGGTGGCCAAATTCCTTGAGTTTCAACTTCAGGATCTGACCTTCTAAAGAGCAGTCAGGGTTGATCTCCTCCAGGCCTTCCTGTCCTCTCCCATCTTCTGGAGTCCATTTAAGCTCATGCCTCCTGCTTCAGGGACTCCCTCCAGCCACCTCATTCTCTATCGTCCCCTTCTTCTCTTGCCCTCCATCTTTCCCAGCATCAGGCTCTTCTCCAGTGAGTCCTTCCTTCTCATCAGGTGGCCAAAGTACTTGAGTTTCAACTTCAGGATCTGGCCTTCTAAAGAGCAGTCGGGGTTGATCTCCTCTAGGACTGACCGGTTTGATCGCCTTGCAGTCCAGGGGACTCGCAGGAGTCTTCTCCAGCACCATAGTTCAAAGGCCTCCATTCTTTGGCGCTCAGCCTTTCTTATGATCCAACTTTCACAGCCATACATTGCAACTGGGAAAACCATGGCCTGGACTATACGCACTTTTGTTGGCAGGGTGACATCTCTGCTTTTTAGTATGCTGTCTAGATTTACAATGAAAAAATGCACAGTGAAAAAGAAGCTTTCAGTGGCGTACTCTTCTCCTTCCTTTCGTTAGTTTTCTCCCAAGTAGCTACTACCTAGGTATTTACATTTGGCTTTAAACTTTGTTGCTTACGTTTATTTGAGTCATTTGTTCTGTGACCAACTTTCCTCTTTTCTTCAGAATCCACACTCTAAACACGTTAGCTCGCCTTGCTGTGGAATATGTCTTATCTAAGGGAGCCATTCCTGATTGAATTTAATTAGACTTCTATTGTGGATTGTTAAAGTTGTTTGCCCCCTGAGATCTAGCAGCCTATATCAAACTTCTTAGCTTTTTTTTTTTTTTTTGAAAACTGCAAAAATCTGTCTTTTCCCACATCTGCCTTTTGGCCTACGTTTCATGGCTGATGTGATTAATTTTTAATTGATAGATTAAAGTTTTATTTTAATTAGGTTTTTTTTTTAAATTTTGTTTCGGCTTTTGGCTCTGATGTTTATTTTCTTTGGAGGGCTTATTGGAAGTTGCTTGGAATCTACTCAGGCAATCAGGGATAAAGCGATGAAGTAAATAAACAGATAAATATTTTCAGGAATTAGCAGAATTCTCTGAAGTGTGCAATTGACATTTTATGAGATGACCCAATAGTGTGAGATTTCAGACAGGTTTATAGCATTATTCTTGGATCAATACTCACAAGAGTAATAAAACAGATATCTCAGGGAATAATCCTTAAATGTTGAGGATGAGTCAGATAAGAAGGAGAAGGAGAAGGAGAAGAAGGAGGAGGAGGAGGAGGAGGAGGAGGAGGAGGAGGAGGAGGAGGAGAAAGAAAGAAAGAAAGAAAGAAAGAAAGAAAGAAAGAAAGAAAGAAAGAAAGAAAGAAAGAAAGAAAGAAAGAAAGTCCAACTCTCTTCCTGTAAAAAGGGACCAAAGACCCCACTTGCAAAACTTCTGGCTTTGTCCACTTCCTGGAGAGGACTTCAGCTCTACAGTCCAGTTATCACCTTCATCACCTCTTTGCACCAGCCATCATTCTTTCCAGCTTGCTAACAAGGGTCAGTGCCAAAATTGGGGTGCAGCCAGATCCCCTTCTCACTTTTTCCGTTGTCATGTTAGAACAGGCGAAAACAAGGCAGGCATTCTTTGAAAAAGAAAGAAAACCAAGGTGCCACGATGCCTGATGTTTTGAAAAGAGAAAGGAGGAGGGGGGGATAAAATAGCAGTTTCCACCAATGAGAAGCTGTCCCACCCTTCAGCTGTGGAGGAAATGCTTCAAAACAATCAACTCAGGTTTCCTCTAGGATTATATATAGCACAAATTGAGTGACATAACCTGTCTAGTTCATTGTCTCGGATTTGTAGAGGCCTCATGATGGCCTGGCAATATAAAAATAACAGAGTTGGAAGGGACCTTGGAGGTCTTCTAGTCCAACCCCCTGTTCAAACAGGAAACCCTCTACCAAATTATTGTCCAGTCTCTTCTTAAAAACCTCTGGTGTTGGAGCATTTACTGCTTCTGGAGGCAAGCTGTTCCACTGATTAATTGTTCTAACTGTCAGGAAATTTCTCCTTCGTTCTAGGTTGCTTCTCTCCTTGATGAGTTTCCACCTGTTACTTCTTGTCCTGCCTTCAAAGTACTTTGGAGAATAGAATTCTTCTTTGTGGCAGCCCCTCAAGTATTGGGAGATTGTAAATACTGCTATGCAAAGAGAATGCTCATTTCAGATCAGAGCATTTTTGATGAGTGGGGAAGACACTAGAAAGTCCAACTAGTCCCAATTATACATCAGATTTTCTGTCTGAATCGATACTTATTATATCACTTATTGATAATATTAGGGACTTTTAAGCCAGGGGTCTTATATAGAGACTCCCCTTTTATATCCCTTTTGCACAGCTCCTCTTTGTTCTTCCACCCTCTGAAGGAATTCTAGGTGGAGGAGGAGAAGGAAGGAGCAATGGATACTAGCATCTGATGCATCACTGTTGTCATAAGGTCGATTTTGAATACATTATAAATGCAAAACGACACATTTTACATCATTTCACATAATGATGTCATGACACGCATGACATCGCTCACCTTCCCTGAAAATACCTCTTAGGAAGGATAGGATCTGATGCATCTGATTTCTTTTTTTTACATATTAAAGAGTTTGAAGGGTTTCTGAGCTCTTGCTCGTAAATAATCATAATTTTCTGGCTGGATTCATGCACAGATTAATCTGTCTTTAACTGAACCATGTTTTGCTGAATCAATCCAATTGCCAGGACACCCAAAACTCACTGAGTCATCAAGCAGCCAAGCATATTTTTACCCCTGGACATTCTCTGTGAGATTTATATTTTGCTTTATTGTTCAGGAATTCAAAGCTGCATACGTAGAACTTTCTTCTATTTTTGTCTACAACCTTGTGAGATAGTTTGGGCTGAGAGGGAGGGACTGGCACAAAGTCACCGCGGAGTTTCCATGGGGAGGCTAGATAGACCTTGAGTGCCCTCCTTCCTTGGTTCAGCTCTTTAACCACTACACCACACTATTGTATGAACTGAGCCTCTCCCTTAAGGCAGAAAAATGTCATCTTCTTTCTTTCTTTCAGATTTCCAAAGGCAAACAACAACAGCCTTAATATAATTAGGCAGGCAACAAGTGAAGGCAGGCATGTTATGTGAAGACACACAGGCACCTCTGCATTTATCCGAAACATGTTGAAACGTAAAGGAGAAAGTATGGCTGAATGAAGCAATCCATCCTTACTACTACATGGAGTAAGTTATCTTTCTTGAAAGGACTTAGCCCCTCCCTAAGGGAACAAGGCGGGGCTTCTGTGGCTTTCCTTTTTAAACGGAGCCAACTGCATCTGCTGGCTGACTCTGTACGGAACTTTCTCTCTTACTAGGACTAAGGAAATAGCAACTTGTTTTTGATGCCCAGCTAATTTTGCTGATTTCTTTCTCATCAGATTCCCTTCTTTCTAGGTTTTTTTTTTCCTCCTTCCTGGAATTGAAGTCATTTTTCCCACGAAAAATGCACATGTGGAAGACACTTGCTTAGCTTGGACGGGTCAAGAAACTTCAAGAGACAGCTGTCCAGAGACGTTGCAAGTAAGTCACTTTGCAGAAACTAAAACTCCACCTGTCAATCGTCCGACTAACCCTAACACCTCTCCCAAAAAAGGAGTCTTCAAGGCTTTTGAATGCCATAAAATATAAACTTTATTCAGTGGTGGGATTCAGCCGGTTCGCACCACTTCGGCAGAACTGGTAGCTAATTTTTTGTTGCCCAAGCCCAGAATGGACTTCCGGAAGCGGCATCCACATAGAGAACCGGTTGTTCCCATATTTGAATCCCACCACTGGCTTTTTTGAAGACACATCTTTTTGGAGCGCATCTGGGGAGAGAATGTGCTGGGTGGGTTATGTTTCCTCGCTGACATTTTTCCTTGCAAAGTAGAATCGGTTCTATTTGGTCCATTCCTCTGCCCAGTGATGGTTGAGATGACCATCAAGTGATGCAATGAATGAAGTAGACAAGCAGAGAAAATTGGGGATCTTAGCACAAGAAAGATGTTATGTTATGAGCTGAATTTCTCTATTAGTGCTTTCATTGATGCATTATCCTCCCCGCAACAAAGAGCAAGCATTTTTAGAATCGGGTACTGACATCTTATTATTAGGAAGAGAGGTGCTTGTTTGTATTTTTGACTCTTCATCTGGAGAATCTCCAGAACAATTTAAGCACCTGAAGGCACTTACTTTGCAGCACGTGAATCCCTGAAAACTGCTTTGCATAGGATGAGGATGCTTGCACAACTGTTTTTATGACTGCTATGCCACTATTCCTTTACTGAATGAGAAAGAGATAGTCCTCTGTGTTCAAATACGTAAGTTGTGAATCAGTCATATCACCCCATTATCAGCGCCTTACGACTTGATTCAATTCAATCTGATTAATATTACGTACCTCATACCTATCCTATTTGACATGACATTAACCTGTTGCCATGGGGGGGGGGAGACAAGGGATCCCAAAATGTTTGCTTACCAAGCTGATGGCTCAATGATAGTGCTTTCCCCCTTCGTATCTGAGGGGGCATGGATCTTGGAGGCTGGCCAACTCTCCCTTTGTATGTCCCCATGGATATGCAAGTTGGTTGGTTTGTTTGTTTTTGCCTGCCTTTAACTTACAGCCTTACCTGTTTGCCTATGTTAAACACAGCTTGGATCTTTGGCATTCTGCCTATGCGGATCCATTCACTTTTTCTAGAAATATTTGTTGACTTACAGGGTGAGAAGAGGAAGGAAGGATGGTCAAATAATTGAAAGTATTAGAAGGTGCATTGTAAAATAAATATTTCTGGAGCTCAGTCTGGAGTTCTAAAGCTATTCTCTAAGGCAGGGTTGTCCAACATTGGCAGCTTTAAGACTTGTGGATTTCAGCTCCCAGAATACTCCAACCAGCTCCGTTCTGGGAGCTGAAGTCGACAAGTCTCTGGACACACTTGCTCTGAAAGCGGATAGGGAGGCAGAAAAGTAGGATGAGATTCTGAAACAACTGGACATCAAGGTGGGAATAGATGATGCCTCGGTGGGTTTGCCACCGAGAGAACTTTTAGGATTTCCATCTGAACATTAGAGGACTTGCTTTTTTGTGCATAGACCTAATATGGATCAATGGAGAAATAAGACCCCTTCAGCGATATGTTATCCTTGTTTTTCTGTATAACAGATAAACACAGCTGCACACTCTTGTTTAAAAGCCACTACGGTCCAATGGAAACATGTTTGGTTTCAACTAGGAAGAAGTTTGATTAATTCCCAACCCAGCCTTGAAGATTATTGGACGGAATCTTTACATTTAACTAATCTAGCAGGATGCAACAAAAATTTGAAATAAGATTTATTTGTATTGGTAAGAACCTAAATGGTAGATCCTACTGTCTGATAACATACTGGAGAGGAGATACATTTGTTTTAGATTTTGGCATGCATTTTGGCTAAGTCTCAGACCAGACCGGTTTGATCCAATTGTAGGACTTCTCAAGACTACAAATTGCCCCAAACTGATTGGGTGATACCACGATACTTTGAAAGTGTTTTTTTTTTTATTTCCAAAACCTTCAGAAAGCCATACCTTGTGCCACAGTTAGAAATCATGTTATTTTCAGCTTTTTTCTTCTTCTTTAGATGGAAAATTGAAAGGGAAAAACGGAAAAGACGGATGCACATGTGTTCACCTTTTATTAGGCATTCTCACATTTTAATAGCAATCGAGTAAATTTTGCCTACACAAATCCGTGCATAAGCTGATTTATGAAAGTGGGCCATCATTCAACATTTGCATTCCTCTGAATGTTATGATGCAATTCTCCAGTCGAAACCTGCATATCAAACTACATTTCAGTAAAAATAACATCCTGAAATATCTTAGGGAAATTGTGGGTGTGGTACGGTACATACATGGGTGTGTGTTTTCCACAAAAATACCTCTGCAGAGTGATATGTACAGAGAATTGGTCAAGAAAGCTTTGTGCAAAAATAAAGAACTGAACTGAACGACAGTTCACACTGAAGAAGAAAAAAAGCAAAAACAGTGGCTTTATTTATTATCTTATTTATGCATTAATAAGTTAACGAATTTAATAAAATAATTTATTAAGAAACCTTAATGAAACATCCTGTAAAAAAGTTAGATAGTTGCCCAAATAGACTTCTTGCCATTTCTTTGGTGCAATCCAGCTCTAATCCAGCAATTGCTTAACCCAGCTATTGCAACATTTTGTGACTTTAAAAATCAGTGTCATCTCTTCTTCATTCATCCCTGATCTTGCCTTGGGCAAGGCTTTCCAGTTGACATCACAGCTCCTGAGAATACATGAGGAAGTGAGAAAGCATTATACAGGAAGAATCTAAAGTTGAGCTGAGGGACCAGAGCACGGGTATCTGTTTTAGAACCATAGAATCAAACAGCTGGAAGTGGCCTGGGAGGTCTTCTACTCCAGGGTCTTCAAACTTGGCCTTTTTATGACTTGTGGATTTCCACTCCTAGAATTCCTCAGCGAGCCACGCTGGCTGAGGAATTCTGGGAGTTGAAGTCCACAAGTCATAAAAGGGCCAAGTTTGAAGACCCCTGTTCTGGTCCAGTCCTCTGCCCAAGGCAGAGTCCTTATACCATTCCAGACAAATCGTTGTCCAATCTTGTCTTGAAAACCTCCAGCGATGGAGCACCTACAACTCTTCTTGCCTTACACGTAAAATCAAGCAAATTATGAAAAGCAATTGGAGGATTTCCACAACTTAGTTTTCCCTACCTATAAGTGTCACCTGCTGGTGGGGAAAACAACTGCTGGTGATTCTCCTTAATGTTTGAAGAACAACAAGGAACTTAAGAGGGAGTGTCTATTTACTTGTCAATGTGCCTGACTAATGAGTCTTGGGCACAAGAGTTTATCATAACAAATTCCCAACCCAACCCAATTTAAATTCTTATAACTATTTACCGAACTCTTTTCTCTTCACTGTGTTTAGAATTGCATACTTCTTCTACCTGTATCTTTTCATCTTTAAATAACGGATGGGCTTACCTTGTTCACGGTTTGACTGTATATTATGTAAGTTGTATTGTTATCCTTATATAGCTTTATTTAGTCTACATTTGTGTCTCTCTCTCTTTTTTTTTTTTTTTTTGTATGTTGGGATTGACTCTGTCTTTCCTTGAAGCCCGTCTTCAATCACCAGCTTCAATTATCATTTTTAACAATACTGATTCTTGGTTTGTTCGTTAATTGTATGCATATCCAAGCAGCAAAGTAGTATTTAAACTTTAAAAAATACACAAACGAGACAGTGTCAGGCAAACAAACTAAAAATGCAAACCAAAAAAAAGAAAAATAAATAAAAATCTCATTTTTATATTTATCAATATCCACTGATTTACTAATGAATACACTATTATAAACCTATTAGTGCAAAATATTATTGTATAATATTACAAATATTAACTATAGTAGCTTTGATCATTTTGCTACCTTCGTTATTCTCAATCTGGCTGCTCGTTTTTGGTAAATCTATCAGTTTGTACTGCCTTCATGTTCCCATATGATTGCCATTTTTTTTACATAGTTTCACAACTGCCATTTGTAATCCTTGCTACAGCCCGCCACTGTTTTAACTTAGTCTTAGCTTCTTTGCTCCCAGTCTAATCTATATTAGTGTCTTATATTTTTAATTGAAACTCAAATAGTTTGGCCACCTAATGAAAAGGAAAGATTCACTGGAGAAGAGCCTAATGCTGGGAAAGATTGAGGGCAATAGAAAAAGGGGACGACAGAGAACGAGCTGGCTGGCTGGAGTCACTGAAGCAGCAGGCGTGAGCTTAAATGGACTCCAGAAGATGGTAGAGGACAGGAAGGCCTGGAGGAGATCAACCCTGACTGCTCTTTAGAAGGCAAGATCCTGAAGTTGAAACTCAAGTACTTTGGCCACCTAATGAGAAGGAAGGACTCACTGGAGAAGAGCCTGATGCTGGGAAAGACTGAAGGCAATAGAAGAATGGGACGACAGAGAATGAGATGGCTGGATGGAGTCACTGAAGCAGTAGACGTGAGCTTAAATGGACTGCAGAAGATGGTAGAGGACAGGAAGGCCTGGAGGAACGTTGCCCATGGGGTTGCGATGCGTCAGGCACGACTTTGCAACTAACAACAACAATATTTTTAATATTTAACTCAAGAAGCGAGAAGAAAACAACTTTGAGGGGTCCATGATCCTCTTTAAACTTGGTTGTTGTTTTTTTGCAGTGTTTCATTACCCAAACTAGGTAGCATCATCAATACTAGTCAATGTTACCTAGTTTGTTACCTAGTTCGAAACGTCTACAAGAAAACGACCAAGCTCAGTAAGCACCAAGGACCCCTCATTTCAACCCTGAGCTACAAAAAAAAAAAAAAATCTCCTTTCTTGAAAACAACTTTTTCCATTTGTCCCAGTGGACAAAGCCTTTTCACGCTAGACACTGGGCCAGAAGCCATTCTGTCTGCTTCGTGTTTGGCTTGTGAGACGTGACTCTTAGCTGCAAAGAGTTTATCTGTTCAGACTCTAGGGAG